TTATACTATTATAACATTTAACTGCTTTGTATAATTACATAATAGTTATTATATTTATAGTTAATTTACAATAGTATTATATTGTAATAATATTTATAATTGTATACAAATTAATTAATAATATAAATTATATGTATTCAAATAATATATTAATAATTTAATATTTAATTATTTATCATAATTAATAATTATTTATATCAATTGTATCATTTAATATAATTAATTAATTATATTAATAAACTTATATATCAACAATTAAATAAACTAGTTTGGTAAACATATTTATTTTTAAATTTTTTACTTATTAATTTTTGAAAGATTAATAAATTAGTATTATTTTATTTCGAATAAGCTTGTATGATAAAAAAAATAATTGTTATATGACCAAACAAAAAGTAATAACAATTTGAAATAGATAATTGTTGAAATAGCCACAACTATTTAAACTGATTCGGTAAACAGATTCACTTTTTAAATCATGTACTTATTCATTTTTCTTAATAAAATAATTAAATAAAATTTTTATTAATTAATAGCATAACAATAATAAGAAATTTTAATATTATAATATATAAAATAATTTTATATTAAATAAAATTATTTTATATATTTTTAATTAATTATTATAAATATATTATAATAATATAATTATTTTATATATAAATAATTTATATAATAATTTATATTGTTATTTAAGAATAGCTAGTTATATAAATAGAAAGGGGATTTTAAAAATATATAATTTAATTATAATTGTTTATTTTTATATATAAACAATTATAGTCAAACTTAGTAATTTATAGTATAATATCAAGTATAAATAATAATAATAATAGTAATTAATAATTTATTTGATAATTTATATATATTATAAATTTATATTTATATAATTATAAATAATATATAATTTATTAATTTTTATTTAATTAATAAATATTTGTTTATTTAATTTAGTAATTATTTATTTTAAAATAAATATTAATATTGATATTTTAATTAATAATTTATTAGTATTTACTAAAATATATATTATAAACTATTTATAATGTTATTAAGTAATTATTTATATAATCTCTTATTAACTTATATTATTTAAATAATTATTATTTCAATTTAACATTATATACTAAAATAATTAAGTTATTAATATATTAAAATAATATATTATAAATTTTGATAATAAAATTATTCATTTATAATATTATATTAACTATATTATATCAACAATAATTGATAACAGTTTATTATTTACCTTAATATAATATATTATATTACAAAATTATAATATAAATATATAACTATTTATACTAATGACTATTAGTTATTAAATGAAATTTGGATTAGATCTATTTATAATTATTATTTACAATAATATCTAAGAATTTATTAGAATAAATAAATAATTGTTATTTATAAATATTATGATATATTAATTTAATATTAACTTGATTATAATTTATTATAATAATTAATATACTAATTTAAATAACTAATCTATTTACTTCGATAAAAATCAATTAAAATAATTTTATTATATTAACTAATAAAATTAGTATTATTTTATTATAAAATAATTCAATAATATTATTAAATAAGTATTATTTTATTATATTTATATTTAAAAAAGCAACAATTAATTAATTATATTATAAATAAATAATTATTTATTTATTTATTAATTTAATTCATAATAATTATAAATATAAAATTAGAATAATATTCATATAGTTATTATTAAGATATACTATTTAAATAATAAACTTACTTAGTTATTAATTTTCAAAATATTATTAGATTAGTATTATTTTATAATTAATTAATTTATTTATTAATTTAATTCATATATAATTAATTATTTATTTATTAATTTAATTCATAATAATATTAGTTAATTTAATAATTTATTTATTAAGTATATATATATATATCAAAATTATAATTATAATTATAATGCTAATTATCAGTTAAAACATTCAAAAATAATAATGACAAATCATAATTATTTATTATATTACAAATTTAATAAATTAATTAAATTATTAAATATATTAATTAACTAATTAACTTATATGTTTCATTATAAATATATAACTTTATAATCAATTAGTATAATTAGAAATTAAAAATAATTATTATACATATATATAATGAATAATTATTTCAGTATGCTTTAAAACATTATAAGCTTTAAATTAATTAATAAACTAATAGTATTTATATATGTATAAATAAATTATAATATTATTAATTAAGTGATGTAATGATTTGAAACTTAATTATTTATATATAACTTAATGATTTTATATATTACTATAATAATATTGAATATAAGAGATTATATAAATAATTACTTAATAACATTATAAATAATTATGAAAAAAATTAATTAAACATATTAAAATTTTAGAATATTAAAATATTTATAAATTTAATATAAATTAAATATATTCATATTATTATAATCAGTTAAAATTATTATTTATATAAATTATTTTTGTTATAATTTTTAATAATTAATTAATGTGTAAATTATATATAATAGATAATCAGTCTTTATTAAGTTATTTTTTTGTATATTTAAAATATAATAAATTTATATAGTATAAAATCAAACTATAAATCATATTATATTATTTGATTATTTAATTATTTGAATTATATAAAATTTAATAATAAATAATCAAATAATTAATTATAAATCTAATATTTATATACTATTTTATAATAAATCAAATATCTTTATATATATATAAAGATTATTTAATTAAATAAGTTAATAAATATATATTATATTTAATTATGAATAAAATATTGTTATTCATATAATATAATTTATTAAATAATTATTAATATAATTAATAACATATAACTATTAGTAATAAATTATGAATATATAATCTCTAAAAATTGTTATTAATAATCAATTCATTATTAATATTACTAAATATAATTTCTTATATTTATAATACAATTATAGTATTATTAATAATTAATTATTATTAATTAATAATATTTATTATTATAATTAATTAATTATTTTATAATTATAAATAATAATTGTATTAATTATTTGATTATTACTATTAGACTTACTTCTAATCCAATAATTATAATTTATAGCAATAATTTATTAAATAAATTAACTAATAATTTTTAATAAGATTTAAAAATTTAATTAAATATATGACTATTATAAAATAGATTTTTTTTTTTGAATCAGTATAATATTAATTAAAATAATATACAATATGAATATTAAATTAATTAATTATCTATTTTGTTAGTTAATATTAGAATTAACTTAATTATATTAGAATTAATATAATAATTTAATAATTATTAAATTTGAATTATTAATTTTAAATCTCATTTTTTTTCTTTGTGATACTTTTATTGCTATGGATTACATAAATTTAAGAATAAAATCAAAATTGATGATAGTATTTTAAATTGAGAGTAATTAATGTTTGACAATTAAAATAATTAAACATGATGTGAATTTAACCTAGGGGAAATGCTAAAATAAAGATTTTGAAATTCGTATAATAATGGTAATGGAATTCATATAATCTACTAAATACCAAAATTAATTTAATTTATTTGATCATCTATTAATCATTTTAAATCAATATATATACATACTATATAATAATAATAATTTATATTAATTATTAGATAATTATTTAACCAAGATGGGTTTTAATTAATTATTTAATTATATTACTAATACTAATAATGTTATTATAAAATTAGTTTAAATTATAATAATTCTTTTACATGAATATTGGTTCAAATAGTCATAAATAACAATAGAATACTAATTTATCTTTATTAATAATAATAATAATATTTAATAATTATTAGTAACTAATTATTATAAATTACTCATCTTATAATATTTATAAGAGTTAAATTTAAAGCTTAAATATTAATAATAATTTAAATTATAATATTAATAAATAGTCATGATTATTTCAATATAGATTATATAAAATATACAATCTATTAAATAGATAACTTTAATTAATTATAAAATAGATTTATTATATAAACTAATCTTATATAATAATATTATTATTATTGTTTATTAATTAAATATTATTATTAATAAAATAATTAATAAATAAATATTTTATTAATTATTTTATTTTAGATAAACTTTTATGAACTAAAATAATTATTAATAATTATTAATAATAGAATATAAATTTTAATATTTATTACCATTTAATAAATAGTTATGATTAAGAATTCTAAAAAGGAATATAGTGAAGAATCTTTTTTTTTTCCAAATATATATATTTTTGTAAGACTCATATATATATATATATATATATTGAGATTTTAAGAATGCATTGATATAGCGCATTCATAATTTTATTCTCGAAATATATTTTTTTTTATGGAAGTCGAATCTAAATTGACAAAGAATGAGATTCTGACTTTTCCCTCTTAGCCCAAGTAATTAAGAGGCCGTTAGAAAGTTATCTAGGCGAGGGTTCAATTCTCGTCATGCCCCCTCCCCTTGTACGGGTACTAACTCCCTTTGAAACCAAAAAAAAATGAGATTCCTGTTTTGCCAACTGGGCGAACCTCGCGAGTATTTATCTTTTAATATTTACCAAATAAAAGAAAATGACTATTATAGTTTTGTGATTATTTAAGATTGGGTTGGCGGAGGTCCATTGGGTTAGAATTCGACAATGTTGAAAAGAAATCTTTAACCCAAACTTTGATTGGATCAAAACCCAAATTCAACCTAAGGGTTGACTAAAGCGGGTGAAGAAAAGAAACATCCTCGCCAGTTCCTAGAAGACCCGATTCCACTCGGCCCAAAGGAGACGTTAACTAAAACAAAAAATTCTCGAGCAAGAGTCAAAACCAGATTCCACCGAACCAAGCCCTCCACAGCACCATTCTCCCACATGTCACTTTCCTGTTGGCTATAGCTATGTCACTCCACGTGTCAACTGTCAAAGAAAACCTCTCCTAAAGCACGATTCCACCCTTCACAGCCAGATCAATTAAAAACCATTGAAAAATAAATCCGTTATTTTTCCGTTAGATCGCAAACAATTTCCTCCACCGTGGCGCCGTCGGGGCCGCAAGCCCTCTCTCTCAGAAAACCTTCTTCGTCTTCAATTCCAGGTGCGAGCAGAGTAGAGAAAAGAGAACATTCTAGAAAGAATCCGAAGGTCGATTATCCATTTTGGCAACAGAATTGGTTTATTGGATTACTATTCGTGATGGCGATGGGATTCTTCGGTCTCACTCTGTTCCTCTACCTCTCTTTCGATTTCGATAAAGGTTTTCCTTCCTCCGCCTCCGCCTCCTCCTCCTCCTCCTCCCAAAGCGTCGAGGTTTTAAAATTCCTTTTCACTTACCTATTAGGTTTTCTGTTTTCCCCCTTTTTTTTTTGTTTCTTAAATTTGTTGAATAAAATGACTGGAACAGATTACTTATGGGACGGTTCTAAAGCTGATGCACGAGAAAACAAAATTTAGGCTGCATTCACACGATGTGCCGTACGGTTCTGGAAGTGGACAGCAATCTGTTACCGGTTTTCCTAATGTAGATGACTCCAACAGCTACTGGGTATTCTCTATCTCTCTCTTACCAGCTATTTTCTTTGATCCTGATCTTCTGAAGTAGTTTCCTTAATTTCCTGAATGTTTGTATTATTGCTGTTTCTTTTTTTAACTACATTCTGCAGTCATAATCATTTTTGATGGTTAATCTAATGGATCAATAAATCAGTCGCGGATCCAATAAATTTTTTTTTCCGGGACGTCCATTTATAATATATAAGAAAATTGTAAACAAAAATTTAATATAACATATTGCTATATTATTAATTGTCTACGACGAGTTTTCATATCTTAAAAAAAAAAAAAAAACATAATTGCATTGTTGCTAATACTATTAAATACATCCTTCTCAATATACATACTTCTCATATCTTGATTTTTTTTTTTTTTATGATTTGGTGGTGTGGTTAAAATTTTGGCCTGTTAAGGAAAAATTTTGGAGATGTCCAGAAAAAATGGTTCTTCAAATTTTTTTATTTTCTAATTTTTGAATATCCCACTGGAACACATGCATCCGCCCCTGCAATGAGCTTTTCCAAGTTAATACTAGTAAACAACCTTTTATTAATCACATGTTGATCCTGCGATAATATTATCGTCTCCTTCATTTAGAATTCGTATCAATATGGTTTTCAATAATTTGAAATTCTTCCTTTGTATTGGCTATTACTATATTTGTACTGGCAAGTGCCTTTGTTTTGTTTATATGTATATTTTTTCTTGATGGAGTTTGAAATAATTTTGAAAAGTTGAATTCAAGCTTGGCAAAGTTTGTTTTCTGCTACTCTTTGGAGTCAAATTCTCATTTAATAGAGTGATTAAGAGCATGTCTCATCATCTTAAATAAGGAATTATGCTTTGCAGATTGTTCAGCCTCCACCAGATACATCTGCTAAACAAGGAGACACCATTCCTAATGGAGCAATTATTAGGTTGCAACACATGAGGACTAGAAAATGGCTGCATAGCCACTTGCATGCTTCCCCAATATCAGGAAACCTAGAGGTTAGTATTTTTCACATGTTTCAACTGCCAGTCATAACTTGAATTCTCAAATTTTGTCGACTTTTAAGCTAATTTTCATGAATATTTGAAGATTGTGATGTTCTTCTAAGCTGTTAAAAGAAAATAGCTTTTGAAAGAAGAGCCCATGCTTTCTCTACTTTGCATTCAAACTTACTGATAATGTTTTACCCTTATGGTGTTGGGTGTAGGTTAGCTGCTTTGGAGGAGAATCTGAATCTGACACAGGCGATTATTGGAGGTGAGACCTAAATTTTCCTTTCATCAAATTTATGTTTATCATTATTGGTTTTCTATTTTGCTGATGTTTCGTTATTGGACAATCCTCTTCAGGCTCCTTATTGAGGGAAGTGGGAAGACTTGGAAGCAAGATCAAAGGATTCGGCTTCAACATGTTGACACTGGTGGCTACCTGCATAGTCATGACAAGAAATACTCGAGAATAGCTGGTGGACAGCAAGAGGTGAGAATGGAAATATATCTGAACTTTAATATAATATTAAGCATGGAATATTGACGCCTAGCAAAGTCTATCATAATTTTTTTTTTTTTGGATTTTTTGCCTTTCTTTCTACTAAATTTTCATTCTAGGGAATATATTTTTCTTTCATCATACCTTGCAATAGTAATATTTGATATTTGCTAGCTCATCATTGACTATGAAAGCTTACTTTGATCACTTTATAACATAAATCTCTGGTTAATATACTGTTAATGGTGAAGGCAGTTGGCCATTATGTTTACTTTTGAAGTTTTGCTGGCCTTTTTTTAGTAGAAATTTGCTGGGCTTTGTTAATTGTTAGTATCTTAAACCATTTACGCATATTCGTGTAGGTTTGTGGGGTTCGAGAAAAGCGTGCTGATAATGTATGGTTGGCTGCAGAGGGTGTGTATCTCCCCATTACTGTAAGCAAGTAGGATAGATATGTTTAACAGATCGCTACTTTTGTAAAAGCAGGTGTATGGGTTTTGGATATATAGGTGTCTGGTGCCTGTTTCTTGAGTAGCTATAGCCATTTTATGAAATCAAGTAGCATGTTTTGCAGAATAACTTCCACTGCTAAGTACTCTATTATGCATGCTTATGTACCTTCAGACGATACTGATCAAATGTAGCCCTTCTAATGATTAATGAGTTCTATTTTTTTTTCTCTATACAGTGACTTAATGTCCTCTTTTTTAAATCTTACCTGTATAAACAAGGAAATGAAGATAAACATTGTAAGAAAAACTGTGAGAATAGATGAGGATGTTTGATTCTTCAAGGTCTTTGTGCACACTGATACCATAGTCTTTCCAGAAAGAGGATTGTTGTCCACGTTTCATGAACAGTCTCCTGAAGTTTTCATCCATTTTTCCCTTTTCTGTGTTTTTCAAATTGATTAATCTGATGAATATTTGAAGAGCAGGGGTAGGGGTTGGGAATTCTGCATGATAGCAAGGTTCCGGTTGCTCTTTGGCAGAATTGCCGGCCATCGTTTAGACTGAAATTCTAGCTTTTATGGTTTGTTTCTGTAGATTGTAGTGTGCATAAATTGGTTTTAAGCTGTGGGCTTTCTACAAGGAAAATAGCACTGGCTATTACTTCCCTGTCCTGCGTGCTCTTGAACTGTACCTGTCTCAAAGACTCCAACCCAAACAAATTTCAGTGTCGAGTCGACAAATACACATCTTCACCGTCCAAGCCCACCTGACCGGTTCATATCTTGCAAGTTCAACCCTCATCGCCATTTCCAGGCATTTTTCCTAGTAACAGCGAGTGTTTTTTTTTTTAACTCTCTCAAAAGCCCACGCGGCACATACATTGCATTCTATTTTTGCGACCAAATATTTTACTTTTTACGGAAAAAAGAACACCATCCCATGTGTATAAAAGTTTCCATTTCATGAAGTTTGTGGTTTAAGATGAAAAGAATGTAATATGTTTCATGGTATTAAGATATTGCCTGGTTCAGGATTAGTCTTATTCGTGACAACATACTACATTATTACTCCGCTCTTTTCACTTAAGACATTTGCAATTTGATTATTTCTTTCAATTTGTTTTCATAAATAAAAATTTAATACTTCTACTTTTAAAAAATGCGTGCATATCTCACTAACAATGGAGTTGACATGTGGTCCTCTTTGGAATAAGAAATGTTATATTTAGGGTAGAGCAAAATTCAGTTAGAACTAAAAAAATTGATAAAAGTTAAATTTTTTGATAAGTTAGGTCGGGTTAGTCGGTTACGTGGGTATTTTTATTATTTATTTTGATTTAAATAATTAAAACGATCGAATTTTCGAGTTTAAAATTGAAAACCGACTAAACCGTAATAATTGATTTAAATCAAGGTAAATTCACCCTAAACCGATTAAATTAACTCAACATTCCTGATTTCCCATTTTCCCTCGTTAACCCACACCCATCTTCTCTAGTTCTCCCCCATTTTCCTTCATTGCCGTGGCATTTTACGGCTCCCTTTCGTCTCTCAAATCTTACTGTCATCTCACAGTTCCTCTCCCTTTCGCTCACTATCGCCGATCTCTTCTCTCTCTCACACTTACACTCATTTCACAGTCCCTTTCCCTCTCCCTCATTGCCATCGATCTCTTCTTTCTCATAGCCTCGTACCTCTTTCTTTCTTTTTCTCTCATGCTCACTTATCTTTCTCTGTCAGTCACTCATGCTTATCTTGCTTTTTGCCCCGCCATTCTTCCTTATTCTCTTAGATTGCTCTTGATCCTACCTTCTCTTCAATGGCATCGAAGTTCGGCACCTTTTTTTCATCTTTGTTGCTTATTAAGAAATTTAATTCTTGTTTAAAATTTTGCTAAATATCTTGAATATATACACACACACACATATATATATATATATTTCATTTTTAATTTTTTGCTTATTCAAAAAATTTGTTTTTTGTTTGATTTTTACACTAATGGTCAGACTCAAAATTGACTATTTACTTTTTTTGTTACTTTTTTGTATGCAAAATAGCTATATTCATTTGTCTTTGCCCATGCTTTAGACAGCAAGATATCAATAATGTATCCTTATTTGCTTGCTTTGTCATGTTGTTGAGATTGCTTTCATGATATTGAGAGATAGAGTAACAAAAATCAGAACTGACTACTCTAAGAAAACTGACTGAGATTGATAAGCTTAATTCGGTTCAATTTTTTTGATTTTTTTATATATATTGATCAGTTCAGTTTTTATATAGATTAAGTAGTTAATTTGGTTATTCAATTTTTATAACCGAATTAACCAAACCAACTGTTTTTTCACCCTTAGCTGTATTGGGTATCTTTTTATCTTGACTCTTTATTTTCAACTTTTTTTTTTAAATATATGCATAATGTGAAAGAGAATAATTACTATATATTATGGTCCTTTCCCAAAAAAAAAAAACAAATTTTAGATTTTTTTTCTCTTTTTTCCCCCAAAACAACCCATATCTAAGCTTGAACTGAGATGTCATGGCCAGTTGTATGATTTTCTGTCCCTATTGTTTTTATTTGTACAAAGAGCCAAATGCATTATCAAAAATAAGATGGAATTTTTTCTAAGGAAAAATAGTAGAAGTGTTCATAATTTGATTTTCATCGAATTAATTGATTGAATCGATTTAATTAGGTTAATCTATCGCCATAGAATTAATTTCGATCAATTAACAAAAATGACTTTAAAAAAATTTTGATTTTTGGTTAATTTTTTTTGAAAACCAAATTAATTGAATTAACTGAAATATAACATAATTCAAATATAAAATAAAAAATAAATAAAATAGATTATTTTATTTTATAAATTATTAGAGTTTTTAATATAATACTTTGATATTTGAATATTTTATTGGATAATTGTATTTAATTTGTTTAAAATATGAGAAATTAAGAGTTTAAAATATAATTTAACTTAAATATAATTGTTTTTCGATTAATCAAAAAAATTAATCAAATCGATTGAATTAAATTAGTTCACTTAATTTTTTAAATTTATAAATTTGATTTAATAAAATAATATAATTAAATTAATATGATTTTGAATAATTCAATTTAAAATTAATCAAATTAATCAAATGAACGTTCCTAGATAATAAAATTGTTAAAGGAAGAAAAAAAAATAAAGAGAAGCACAAAAGTGGAAAGTCAGACGGCTTAAACTGAATAATTGGGCTGGTAATCTGGCCCACAAAGGAGGCAACTCACAGGGCAATTGCCATTGTTTTTAAAGGCCACGAACCAAACGTGAACCCAATTTTGCTAAATTACCTTTTGATTTTTGGCTTTGCCAATTGCCAGTAAAAAGAAATGGTACTACTTTGTTTTAATGATATTCCATCTTTTTCTATACCCAGTCTTCATTATTACGAGATAAGATTCAAGGTGAGGTGATGTCCAAGTGATATTTTTTGGTTGAAAATATATACCATGAATTCCAACTAATCATTGGCTATCAAACTTGTTTTTTGGGTCTTAATAAACATCAACTTCTTTCTAATGATTTAAATAAAAAATAGAGAATCCATCCCAGAATCAAAATTTAAGTACTAAATGTAGCATAAATTTGGGCTAAAAAATTGGTTAGCCCGGTTCCCCTACACATATGTCTTGTTCACCATGGTAGCATTATTCATTCAAATCTAGGATGGTCCCATTTAATGCCAATTTCCCTCCCTATATTCATGTTTACCAAACAAACTAGGCATTCAAGATCTGCCATAAGAGACCACTTCCCACCCACTCTCTTAGATATACATAACTGAAATAAAAATAAAGGTCTTTCAAAAAAAAAAAAAAAGAAATACAAATAGATTTGACCACATATTGATGTCAAAGATTAGCACCGACATCATGATTCTCATTGGGATGCGCATGTTTGTCATGTAAATGAAAAGTTCCACAACTTTTTCCTCTTTATGTTTTTTTCTTTTATTTTAGTATTTGTTCCTTCGCCAGCCCAATCTTGCATGGCTAAAGTCTAAACATTAGATTTTCTTCCACTGAGTGGTGGAAGTACAAAGATAAACAAAGTCAGTATAATATGCTACATGCTAATTAGTTATGATTAATAATGCTGTAATGATTAATGAAGCAAGAAGGAAACCAAAGGCGATTGTACATTACTTTTTAAGAAAAGAAAAATACACCTTTTGCCTACTGATAGCTGCTGTATCCACTTTCTAGTAAGAAATTGACTTATGATTCAAAAGAGAACGCATTTAATTAAATTATTTGATTAAAGATGAAAAGACATCGACTAAATTCTTGCTCGTGATTGTGAAAAACAATATGAGAATTATGTCAATAGAACTATGCCAAATTTTAAAAATGGAGGGAGGGTTGTAATGGTGCATTGCTTGTCAATTGCTTGGTTAATTAAAATTTGGGAGGCTGATGCACCATGGTTGAATCGTCCTGAACCTTTTTCCAAACATGGGGTGGGCAGCTAACATTACCAGAATTGAAAAATCAGGTATACTACAGTCTACACAATTACAACCAGGTATGATCCAGCTAAACTCCTTATGGTTACTTCAAGTGTAACAATTCAGTTCAAAATCATGAAAATTTCCACATTTTGTGCTGCATTTACTATTAAATTGCCAGAATACAAAGTTCCACTGGTATTATGTTGTCAGCATAATTTTTAAGGAAAAGACAAAGCTTTACTCCTCAGTAACTTGACTCTTATTTCTATGGTAGGTTTTCTTTGCTCGGACGTTAGAGCAAAGGGACAGGAAATGTGAAAGGAGTTGGGATTATATTTTGGATAATCCTTTCAAAGTATGGTAACATGGGGGGGGGGGGGGGGGGGGGGAGTGGGGGCCAAGTCATTGAAGAATTGAACTATAGTGGTAACTACAATAATGTCGCCTGTAGGTGGAGTTCATCTTGTAGAGTGGATAATCGAAGATTTATTTCACTGATTTTGCATGGTTGGATGCTTTGGTCATAGCAAATCTGGAAAAAAGAACTTCATACAATCAATTTTCATTTGCATTTCTAGCGAACAAAGTCCCCACGCCCAAGGATTCATTGATATCAAAGATAAAAGACAAATACTAGTAAAATCAACAGTGGTAGACAAAAACCAGCCCCCACTACAAGAAAATGGCGTATTAGCGGTAATTTTGTAGTGGTATTTCACTTATAAACGCCGCTAGTTTCCATG